GGACGAGCAAATCTCCACAAGACTGGGGCCGTGTACTGGCGGTGTAAACCAGTGCAGTATGTTTCTCATCCATGATTCCACAAAGAAACCCGCGCGACGTGCCAGCATGCACAGCGCGTGTCTGCAAAATGGCTGGGTAATGTACTGGGGGTTTGAACTTTGAACCACCAGGGGCGAGGTCCCACTAGCAAAGAGGATCGGATCGAATGCCTGAATCTGGATGTGTTTTATGCAGAGATGCAGAAAAGCAGTTCAATCTCGATTTCCTGCACCGCTGTACAAACATGTCCAGATGCAGGCATTCGATCTGACCCTCTTTGCTAATGGGACCACGCCCCAGTATGTTTACTCTTTTATTTTCTCCTTACTTTCCTTGCCAACAACTTCCATGCTTGCCGGTGATAAGCAGCTGGACTGCTGGGGGCCCCATAATAGATGGGGCTTATAAGCCAGCAGACTGCTGGCCCCCTAGAACAGGTGGGGCTAAGTGTTGTGTATTGGGGGTGGGGGTGGGGGGGTAACCCACCAGGTTTTTTTTTATCCCTTTCGTTTTGGAAAAAAAAACACACCACTTTGCACGAGTCTAAGTTGACGAAGCTACGTTCCAAGGCCGGAGAGCCTGAGACTGCGCCAAAAAAGGAGAAACAAAGATAAAATAGAAAGTCAAAAAATTGAACTAAGGCACCCCCCCCTTTAAAGTTTAAACTCCTTTAAGCCTGTTTAAGCCCGATTTATACTTCCCTTTCCTCCACCAACAGACAAACACTGAAACCAAAAAAAATACGGGATTTTGTCGCCCAGCACGTTGAAAGAAACACCCTTGAGGCTCCTGGACTACTCAGTGTCACAAGGATACCAGCGAACAGCAATTAGGCTGAAAATGCCGGCTGATATAGCTACCTCAAGATGGCAGGCCGTTTGGAGCGAAGACTTATCTCAAGCAGGTTCAGATCTCGAGAGGCTCTGGGAAACGCTGACATTGCTACCAAATGGTAAACAAGTGAGCTTACTCTGGATGCTGTCCCTGATGGTCACGCCGTCAGCAGTCTCGCTTGTGAGCAGGGGAATGAACTTCAAGGTGGAACTGGTATGCTCGCAGTGCAGATGGCCGTTTGAGTCCACCCGGCACGTGTGGTGGGAATGCCCAGCATCTAAACGGATCTGGAAATGGTGGTCCTACCACTGGACAAAGTCTGGAGACCAGTCGTTAGTCTGGGACGAGGAATGGATTCTGTTGGGTTTCCTACCAGGCAACTTGGTTGGGCACCGCAGGTGGGGGTATGTGGCTCATGCAATCAGAGGCCTGATATGCGAAGTAATTTGGAAAGACGGGAACAGAGCTCGTTTCGAGAAGAGACCGCTCTCAGACCTGGAAATCAAACGCCTTATCAAACAGGAACTCGAGCAAGCCATTCGAGTGGACTGGAGGAGAACGAGCAAGGGAGGAAAAGGCAGCCGGAAGCAAATGGGATGGTTCATGCGTACCTGGGCCAAAAACTTCCAGCTGTCAGCGGTTCATGCAAAGACGGGACTGCAGATTTCTAGATGGATCTTGGACCTGAACAATCCAGGAGGGTGACTGAAACCACTGTTCAAGGATCGGTTAGGACTAGGAACCTCGGTTGGCTGAGTTCAGGTCGACCGGGACACATACCAGGACACTCGGCTTAATAGTGTCGCAGTAGGCTACTTGGCGAGTGTCTGTAGGACCAGGACCCGGTCCTCTGGGCCGCACTAGTCCCAGAAGCTAGCTTAGGAGGGTAGGGACCGGTAGCAAAGATGAGAGGATCAGACCGCAAGAGGCAGTGGTCGCAGCTTCACTCAAAAGGCTAATGAGAGAGTAGGAAGCCAACTCAGTATTATACAGACTAAGTAACTTCCAGGCAACAGGAAATAGCTATAGACAGATACTATTTCATGGGACTACATCATTGAAGAGGTCCGGTCAAAACAGGCATATGTGGCCTTTGGATCTATAGAGGAAGAGAGGAAGGAAATGGTTAGGTGGGACAATAGTAGTGACTCGCAAACGCAAGCCCGTAAGTTAAAATGGCTGAGGCTGCCAGGATAACTCTTGTGACTCCGGGTAGAATTGTGGGACCCCGCGGCCCCCAGTTTTCGGAATATAATTGCAGTGGTTAAAAAACAGAAAAAAAGAAGAAGACACGGGATTTAGGCTTTCGGTGGGCACAGAAATGTCCCCCTGACAACGTTGGGAAAAAAAAAAGAAAAAAAAAAACTCGCGGAGCTCTTACAGTCCCGGGGTACCGTGGCCTTGTGGATGCCCAGACAACCTGCATGGGTGCCTGCCTGTGCAGCCCTGGTAGCAGCTTAGGTCCAAACAAATTTTTGCGCCTTTGTAAAAAAAACAATTCAAATAAACAGTTAACCTTTTTGCAGAAGCACAGTGAAATCTTAATCTTTTGTCTCCCTCTTTTTTTGGTTGAAGTCAGGTAAGTTAACCCCCCACTAGGGCCACTGAAACAGTATTCACCGATTTGCAGTAGCTGATGCAGATCCCAGGGCTCGAGCCCTAGATCCCCAACTTACCTGTGTACAATATCTGCGTCAACCCGTAGAATTGAACCTGCAACCTGTAGGACYGCCAGTGGTAGGTAGGATTTCGTAGGTCACAGGGTAGAAGGGATTCGAACTGTAGACCTGTCG